CCTTCCAACTCCTCACATTTTGGGATTCTGTGATTCTGACCCCTGGGGTTTTTTTTGCTTTCTCGTGTTTTGAATTCAGTAAGCAACTAAGTTCTCTTAGTGTCTGTGGAGCTGAACCAGGCTCTATCAGCCCTATTCTAGGTACGTCTCATGTTTGCAAAGAGAGAGAAGCTGCATTGCTAAGACGTTTTCTTTTCCCTTCCCAGAAGCCGTACGGAGTTTGCGCCAGAGCACTCTGGCCAAGCGTTCGAATGCTTCGCCTCCTGTCAGCACCAAGAAATCCTCTGTAAAAAGCGGATCTGCTCCGAAAACTGGGCAGAAGCAAGAGAGAAGTCCCACTAAAGAGGGAGATGCTGCTGCACCCTCGAAAACGGAACAGTCCAGAGAAGTGAGGCGCAGCACAAGGCTATCGGGACAGGCAGAAGGAACGGCAGCAGCAGCATCCCAAAGTAATACAAAACGTCTTCCTGGTCCTGAAGAGGGGGATGAGATCAAGTCTGAAACCCTCGGGCAGACAAAACTGGAGGAAACATCACAGGAGTTAAGTTGTGGGGATTTAGCAGGAGCTTGTTCTTCTCCTGGAGGAACAACAGAAACGGCCGTGGTTGCAACGAAGGCCGAATGTGGGGATGCTGGGTCGGTTTGTTCGGTATCTACAGACACCGAAATTACAGCTGTTAAAAATGATGATAATGTGATCGATTCGATGGACTCTTCAGAAACTTCTTCAGGAGAAAAGACTGAAAATAAACTGGAGAAATCGGAGGAGAAAACAGAGGAGCCTGATCAAAGTGGAGTAACGGGAAAAGCGAGCGATCCCTCCAGTGTTTGTGTGATTCCGAGTGAAATCTGTCAGGCCCTTTCCAGTTTGGCCAGCTCTGTAGAGGAGGAGGTTGATTGTAGTTTAGGTTCCCACAGTGTGGAAATTCCTGGTGAAAACACATCACTGGTAAAGGATCGCGTAACAGAACCTGGAGATGATGATATGGAAGTGGAGAAAACTCTAACTTCATCTGAGAAAGTCTTGGACAGTACAGGTTTGGATGATAAAGACTTGAAAAGCGAAGAGTTTACTTCTGCTGACCCCCAAACTAGCATTTTGGAAAGCTTTGTGCTTGACCAACCAAGCCAAAACGTACAGGAGCAGCTCAGCAGTGCTAAAGTAGAGGGCCTTGAGGGACCAAAATCTCAGGACGATGAGAAACAAATGAGCGTTTCATCCAAGTGTGAGAAGAACGTTAGGCCCCGGCACAGTAAATCTATAATACAGAATAAGCAAAATACGACTCCGGGTAGCCGACAGAAATCTGGTGTGGTGCAACAAGAGGTAACGCGCTCGAGAACGAGAGCTGGTCTTGGTGTTTCGGGTCTTCACAGCCAGGCTTCAACGAGTCTGAAGAGGAATGCGGATGAGCAAGAGAGTCCTCAGCGCCCCAACAACCCCGTCAAAATTAGGAAGAAACAACCCGATCTGGGTTTGAAAGCAAAGAGCTGCGTTTCAGGGGGACCGGTGAAAAAGCAGAGCAATACCTTGCTGAAGAAAATCCCTCGAGTTGTGGCTTCTGGGCAGGTGCAGAAATCAGCGATTCAAAGGGCGAGTGAGGTATCTCCTAAAGAGATATCAGGGCACGCTTCAAACCTCGCTCAGAAGCAAGGCCAGGGTCAGAAACTTCCCACTTTGCTCAAAAGCAGCTCTGCCAAAGACGAGGCGGAGGCAAAAGATCACCCTGGTGTGGAGCATCTGAAAGAGGATGAGAAGGAAAAGACCAAATCGAAACGGGTTGACAGGAACCTCCAGCCACGCCAGAGACGGAGCAGCAAAAGCCTTTCCCTGGACGAGCCTCCGCTCTTCATTCCCGATAACATCGCCACGGTGAAGCGGGAAGGCGCAGAGCATCCCTCTGCCCCCGAGAGCAGAAGTGTTTGGGTGCCCAACAAGCAGTGTGGCTTCTGCAAAAAGCCGCATGGCAACAGGTGCGTGTGGCTTCGAGGATTCGCTTTTGGGCTCCGAAGATCAGTTTTTATTCCTCCTTTACCAAATATTTCATCCCGCTGGTGCCAAACCCAAAATTCTTATAGAGGAGTCCGGTCTGCTACGTTATCACTTAGTTTCCTGTGCACATATATGCTCTTCTTGTGTCTTTTAAGTAGTTTGGCTAAGAAATTTTAGGAGAAATGTTTTATGATATGAATACAGATTTTGAGGAATGTGTATTCTGCGCTCTTAAAATATGTACTTGATATTTTTTTTTCATAGAAATAAGATGTTTCTATTCCAGATTGTAATTCTCCTTCTTTCCAGAGACCTCTGAAGTTGTAGGATCGCCGTCGACCAAAACCCAAATCAAATAGTGAATCAAAATGTGAATTTGATCTGCTAGAAGTGTGATTATTTTATTATTATTATATTATGTTATT